TGCTGTAGCCTTCAGCATCACAAGCACAAATAAGAGAAAAACTTATATCAACTATATGGGATTCTACAAAAGAACCAAAAAAAAAGTGTGGTTGGGGGGATAAGGGGCAGGATTTTCATTTTTGCTGATTTTTTTTTTAAAAAAGGCTAATTCTCACCCCAATGAACACAGGGCACAGATCAGATGTTACTGGGATCCAGGAACAAGAAAGGCCAGAATTGCAGTTCAATATACTGAATGTCTATCTATTTCCAGTTTTATGGAATAAGACAGCAGGGAAGAAGAAAGAACTAATAAGGGCAACAAGATATGGTGCCAATGAATTCAAAATAAGAAAAGTTGTATAAAGCAAGCACAGGGTCTGGCTTTTGGAATTCATCAAAGAAAGGATGCTTCCTTCAAAAGTAGCTTTGGGTGTGATCAAGTATACATATTTAATATTCATGTTCTCTGTGACAACTGAATGCATGAAAACTCATAGAGAAGGCTGATTACAATCTAGTTGCAAAGATTGTGTGCAAAGCCATAAAGATTTGCATGGTTTTTAACCTATTGTGTGATTCCATCTATAGCATACTATGATAGATGAACTCATCAAGAGAGAGAGAGAGAGGGGGGGGAGGGAGGGAGGGAGGGAGAGAGAGAGAGAGAGAGAGAGAGAGAGAGAGAGAGAGAGAGAGAGAGAGAGAGAGAGAGAGAGAGAGATTATGGGTATATGCACAATCACGTGACTGTTTATGCACATATGTATGATGGTGGGGCATTCTGCACCATGTTAAGGCATGTGAATTAATAACATGTTCTTCTGAATTGGGATTTTTCACAGCATTTGGGGGGGGACACCTTAACATTATAAATATTAAAGAAGTACATATTTTCTGGAAGTTTGGAAATAACACTATAATTAGACACCTATCAATACAATTTATTAAATAACATTGTAGTCCAATGGTATATAGGATAATACATTAATAAACAGTTAAAATGTTTAGGAGTGCAGCACAAAGAAAAGTTGAGGTTAGCATGCAAAGCAATCAAATAAGCAGTATTTAATCAATAGTGAATTTAATTATCTAATTCAAGGAGAAAAAGTCAAGGAGTATAGAGAATAACACATTCAGTTCAATGAGATAAAAGATGAAGCAAGACTTTTCCAGAAGTGATTCATTTTACACAGGGTTCAGCTACAGAAGGTAAGAGTAATATAGAGGTTCTTACCAGAAGACAGAAACCCACAATTTTGAAGCTGCTTGCCATAGCAAAGAGGGGAAGAAATTTATATGAGGTAACATTCCTACAGGCTCACACGTGTACAAAAAGACAACACATGGCACAGGCACTGCTTTACTTGGGAATGGCGACTGAAATAGAGAAAATAGGGATCTCTACCAATCATTGCTTTTGCTAGTACAGGTAGCCCTCAACTTACAACCACAATTAGAACTGAAATTTCCATCACTGCAGTCATTAATTGAGTAAATCCTGATTTTATGATGTTTTTAACATGTTCTTTAAGCAAATTATGTGATCATTGAATAAATCTGGCTTCCTCTATTGACTGTACTTGTCAGAGGCCGCCTGGGAAGGTCACAGAGGATGATCCTGTGACCACAGGATGCTGCAACCATTGTAAATGTATACTAGTTGTCAAAATTCTGATCACATGATCATGGAGACACTGCAACAGTTGTAAATGTGAGTACGTCATAAGTCACTTTTTTCAGCACCATCATAAATTTGAATAGTCATTAAATGAGTGGTTATTAGTCAAGGATGATCTATACTCTTTGGCTGGATCTGCCCACCATAGTTCTCCTAGACTGGCCAGTCCGATAATCTAGAAGAAGAGAATTGGTACAGTATATTGCTCTTTTGTCAGATTCTGAATCCAGCTGGTCAGATCAAGCTGGCTGGTCCTTTCAATTTATGATACTCTAGTTAGCAGGGTTGAGCTGGGGAACCAGAAATATTATGTTTTCAAAGTAGGACAAGTGTCCATTAGAGGATGGACTCAACAATCCCTTTCCCTTTGCTGTGGAGGCTGGTTGAGAAAACAGAAGTCAAACATATGCAATCACCTGAAACTAAACATGCCATCTTTAGCTTAGTCTAATACAGTATTTTTCAACCATTTGTGTGTGGACTTCAATTCCAAGAACTTCCCAGCAAAAATTCATGCATCTTAAATATGCCAAGGTTGAGAAACACTAGCTTAATATATTAGCACAACCACACTATATACCACAGGATATATAGAACAAAGGGAAGGTGCTTCACTTAATCTATGCAGTCTGTGCAAAGGCAAAATAAATTTCTCCCATGCTCAGTGCTATGAGTTCTTGGAGTCTGTGTATAGAGATGCTGCATTTCCAGTTGTTGCTTCCCCCCCCCCCCAGTGTTTTCATTAGATAAACAAGAATACCTTCCATAGTGTGATGTTAGCAATACCTTGTTCCATAGAGCAAAGATACCCAGGTGGTTTCCCAATGTACCATCAAACTGCAGCATGTGGTGCCTGCACAGATGGCTGTCTTTAGTGTAACAGACACACACACACACACACAAACATTAATAAGAATCGTTATAGTAATTCTGGCCCATCTATTACCAGGGAGTGTTTATCTTTCAGCAAGGGGGAGGAGGGTGGAACACCAAATGCCATACTCAGCATTTAATTCAGATTTCTGAGGATCCCAATGTTCTTTCTTTCAGGAATTGTCTAGCATTATTTGACAGGCAAGTACATAGGGAAGATTTCTTGAAACTGCAAGTTTTAAACACCTGAATGAACAAGATGTTGCCATGAAGCAAAGCCACAACACTCTGCAGTGACCTACAATTTAATGCTTTATGCAATACAATATGGGGGATTTTTAAGTGCAAAATTTAAAAAATAAGATAAAATATTTTAATTTGCTCAAGGTATTTAATGCATGCACATTGCAGAAACTAGATTCTCTTGATATTCATTTGGATTTCCTAGTAAGTTTAGCTTTGGTTTTAGAATAAGTGATTAGATTGACAAAATGGCATGTTAAAAACTACAGTTTACAAATTAGAGTAGTCAGGATCAAAGCCAAAACGAAGGAAACAATATTGTAGTGTAGTAATGTGTATAAGCTCAACACACACACACACACACACACACACACACATATATATATATATGTGTGTGTGTGTGTGTGTGTGTTGAGCTTACTACAACTACTTACTACAACTACAATATTGTTTCCTTCATTTTGGTTTTGATCCTGACTACTCTAATTTGTAAACTGTAGTTTATAACATGCCATTTTGTCAATCTAATCACTTATATATATCAGCATGGGGTGTATTTCTTCTTGATTATAATGAGGCAGCCATGGAAATATCTTGCAGCGAAATGTCAGACTCCACATCTTACACATACTGTGCTGATTTCTGTAGGTTGCAATAATTTAGCCACGATAAGATGGCAGCAAAGAGATATAGAAACTCAATTGCATGCCTAGTGGTGGTTCAGATTTTTGAAGTTTAGATATGGCAATTCTCCAAAACCTCTGACCCAAGATGTGTAAAAAAATCCAGACAACCAGGAGATGGCAGCAAAAAGATACAATTGTGTACCTTTTGGGCCACTTGAATTTTTGCAGCCTAGATCTAGTATCCTAGAAAGCCAGAATTTTTGTGGAAAAGGCAGCTTCAGTGGACAGAATAACTGCACAATCAGAATCCTGATCACATAACAATGCACTTCAAATGATTTAATTCTAATAAAGATGAACGACATTTAACTTTAAAAAAAAGAAACTGAGTGTGTTAAGTATCCCATTATAATTGGTGAGAATGCCAAATTATGCTTTTTATTATCTAGTTTGAATTACTAGTCATTGATGAGCCATAATATAATTTATTTGGTTTGACTTAACTGCTAAATCATCCAGTGACTTTGTAAGTCATGGGAAATAGATGAGTACAACATGTGATCATCCCATATTTTTTTTTAGCAGGCAGAAAGGAAAAAAGGCAAAATGAATTTCAGAAGCTGTGTCTCATATAATGAGAAATATTTTCTGTTGAAAAGTAGAACATACCACACTGATTTTCATTTATGCTGCCACACTAGATATACTCTCTCAAAACCTAGTCCTGCTGATTTTTATGGCAGTAAGTTTTAAGGAAACACGTTTGGAATTTTGACGCCTGCTTTAAATTCCCAACTTATGATTCTGTACTAATTTAGGTTCATACAGTACAGCTTCTTTAAGGAATCATAGAGATCCAGCAATAGGGATCTAGCCTAAGAAGGACATTTGCAGAGCCAGTTCTTTTCCGATAATAACCACGCTAGCCATCCCCATTTTGGCATCTCCATTATTAAACCACCCCTCCCACTGCCCAGTCAGAGGAGTACTGGCAGGGGATTATGAGAATTACCCCTCTAGATGATGCCCAGCTGAGGAAGGCTGAGCTGGGTCTGACAAGAGAAACTGAAGTCTATGGAGTTTTCTTCTCCTCATCCCATAGCTGCTAAAAGGCTGCCACTGGGGCCTCGGGTAAGGGGCGCCCAGTGGCAAGGAAAGAGATCCTTTCTTCCCTTGGGCGATTCCGAGGCCGAGAGGGGGAATATGTTCCATGGTCTTTTTCATTTGCTGGCCGTGGTTGTGTGCTTTAAGGAGCAACGTCCAACAAAAGGAAGGTTGGGATGAAATACGGTCATCTGCTAAATCCTATCCATGAAAGGACGCCGCCTTCTAGACAAGTTCGAAAGTTCGCCACGGCGTTGCCTTTCTGAATCTGAATACATCACGACAATACTGCACCCTTCTGGCTTCCGTCCTTCCGCTTGCGAGCCTCCCAGAATAGCCTTGGGCGAACGAGAGGTGCCCTTCTCCCCGCCCCCCAACCTGAAAGCCACGAAACTGCACGGGAGCCGCTGGGTGTGCCACTGCATGCATCCTTCATCCCTCTGCACACAGATTGTGCGGGGACCACATATTCTGCCGCCGCCACCACCGCTACCACCTTTCTAATTAGCCTGGCCAGCCCTGGCTCTCCTTTCTCCTCCCTCCCGCCGCCAGCCCTTGCGGTGCCGCCCCCCGACCCACCGCATCTAGTCCGGCAAAGGGGCTGCCGCAGCTCCCTCGCTCGCGTCTCCACCGCCCCCTTCGCCCCCCTCCGTCCCTTTTTTTCTGCGTGCGCCCTCTAGTGGTCGGACTTCAGCTCCCAGCACCAGCTTCCACGGCCAGCCGGCGAGGAAGGCAACAGTAGTGGAGCGCAACCAGCCGCTTGTCCTTTGCCCAGAGTCGGCTTCTCGGGCGTCTCGCTTCTGCAGGTAAGGAACAGGCAATATGAGCAGACAAAAGAGCGTCTGCTGCCGCTGCTGCGCCTTCCGGCTGAGCAGGGAGGCTGCTGCTTGATGCGATCGGGTCTGAGGGGAAAAGGGAGGAAAAGTGGGGCTTGGTTGCATATGGGTGAAGGCGGGCAGACGGAGGGGCTTGTCTGCTATGTAGAGAAAAGAAAAAAGGTGCAGGATGGGAGAAACGATACGGGTTGGGTGGCTGGGGAGAGGAGATCTTGGGGGGGGGGAGGAAAGAGGATGGAGTTGGTGAAGGGGGCTGTCATGGCATGCAGGTGGAACTGAGAAGGAGGAGCAGGAGCTGAGGCATGCGATGGGGTGCAGCTGGAAGATTGGGGTGGAGGTCGGGATCCAGGCCCGGGAGGCAAGCACCGGTGGGGCCCTAGTATGAGTCCAGAGTCAGGTGGAAAAGATGAGAGGGAAAGATCCTGGGGATGGAGAAGAAAAAGAAATCAAGGTGGGACAGAGAGATCGAGGACATGCATGGGACGCAATGGAACGAAGGGAACAAGTTTGGGGGGCAGCAGGTGTTTTAATTTGCATTTTTGAGAGAAAGGGGGATGCATAACAGCTGCATCCATTCAAAAATGGGCCCTGCTGTTGGCAGGAATGAAGAGGCCAGGTACGGGGCAGCACGTTTTGACTCTACGGGGGTTTCCTCATCCACACACCCTTGCCAGGCGGAGGGTGTAATTAGGAGGCGGCTGGCGGGGCTCAGCACGTCAGGGCGCAGACAATAGGCCAGCCTCCCGGGGCGGCTGTTGTGCCAACACGCTGCTAATGTGATTAGGGGCACATATCGCAGCCAGCACCGGCCTCCTGTGTGCCAGTGAGCGTACAAGAGGAGGGGAGGCAACAGCTTGGAAAGAGAGATGGCGCGGGGGGGGGGGGCAACGCCAGAAAAGGCCGTGCCTCCTTTGGCAAAGGGAATGAGTGTATCCCGAAGGGAAAGAGCATGCTGTGTGCACGCAGACCTGCTGATATGCCTCAGCATGGCATAGGCAGATGGACTGATTTTGTAACAGGCATAGAACAATACAATTCATATTAATATATTATACTTACTGGGAGATCACATTTGCTTCTGGTATTGGGCATGAAACTTGTCCATCAACAGCCTTTCCAGGGAAAGGTTTGTTTGTAACACAATTGTGTTTCACACTTGGTTTGTGTACACATTAAAAGTGCAAGTGTGATGGAACAGCTGTTTGTCTGCGTGAAATAAATTGAATTCTAGTAACAACCTTTGTGCTTGTATGCGTGTGAGTGTTACAGTGCCTCAGTTCAGCTCTGTTCCTCCTCAGCTAAAAGATATGCAAAAATTAAATATATGTAGATAAGTGAGTGGGTTCCAGGTTTGAGTATCTGAGCACAGGTAGCATAAAATGAAGTTTATTTGATAATAATTTTTTTATTCAACCTTAGTGAAAGAAATGGGCTGCATATATGACAGTGATGCACCTAGAGAACATAATCTGTCGTGCATTACTCATGCTGAGGAAATATAAGTTTCTCTACCAAATAATATCTTGTTGGAAATTTATCACATATTAATATAATATTACCATTATTTGTGGACCACTATCCTCAATCATTAAAATTCTTGGAGACTACCTGGGCAAGTCTCTACAGTTTTCTTAGCAAGGTTTTCAGAAATGATTTGCCATTGCCTCCTTCCTAGAGCCGAGAGAAAGTGACTGGCTCAAGATTACCCAGCTGACTTCCTGTGCAAGGTGGGTCTAGAACTCAGTCTCCCAGTTTTTAGCCTGATGACTTAACCACTAAACGAGTTAGCTCTCTCAAACTATGCAAATATATCTTTGTACATGTATGTGGATAAGTTGTGTGCTGTGCCAACCAGAGAAAAATAAGGCATGATTTCCACTAATATTTCCTGAAAGTGTATCTCATCTACACAATTGTGTGGAAAGAAGGTCAGTCCTAGTTTGGTGCAGATGTTTTTGTTTGCTTCCCTCTTAAGAAACAAGGCTTTCTAAAGCAGTCAAGAAATGTTTTTCAGCCAGAGAAACTTGTGATTACTCTTCCCCCACAATTTAATTTTTAAGCCGTTTTAAGGGAGTCTTCTGCCAGGTTTAAGCCCAGTGATGACACTCTGAAGTCCAGTCAAGTCCAATCCTTTATTTGCTTACCCCTAATAGACAAAGTCTTCTCAAACTAAAGCTACAGCCTTCTAACCCATTAGATATATCCTGAGAGATTCTAAAGCAGTGGTCCCCAACCTTTCCAGCACCAGGGACCGGTGGGGGAGGGGATATTTCGCAAGCGCAACCTAATCCCATGCATGTGCAAATGAAACTTTGCATGCTGCCCGCTGCTGTATGCCCTGGTTCCCAAAGGGCCACGGCCCAGGGGTTTGGGACCCCTCTTCTAGAGTACTCTGAATTTCTTCCCTCATCGAATTAGGGACTGTGCCATCTCTTAATTTGGGCCTCTCTCTGGGAAAGCATGGTGTTGCAAAACCTTCCCCACTGGTCCTGCAGGTGCAGATTTCACCACAAACTTCTGCAGTTTGGTTTCTGCACCTGTTGACTATTATCCTCATCCCATGTGCCTTGCTGGTTGTCAGATGATAGATCATCGGTTTTGCCCATCTTTAAAACACTGAGCCTTTGCTTTATTCGTTAAGCCTTACTTCCACTTTTCCTTCTTTCCAAAAATTCTGAGATTCCTGGCTCCAAATCTACTCTAATCTGAAAATATTTAGTATCTTAATAACCTGCCCCTCTCTCCTGGTCCCCTGCAATTTTTGTTAATGGTTTGAATGGGCACTCTGCAGAAGTTAGAAGGAAGGTTACAATCATTCCATCATTTTTTTTCAAATTCTGCCCCAACTTTCAGTTTGATCTAGTGATAAAGGCCCCAGGCAAGAAAGCAGGAGACTGTGAGTTAAAGTCTTGCCTTAATCATGAAAGCCACCTGGGTGACTTGGGGTTAGTCGCTCTGTCTCAGCTCAGTCCACCTCAAGAGTTGTGGTTGTGGGGAAAATAGGAAGAAGTGTTGGATATATTCACTTCCTTGAGTTATTTGTAAAAATAATAAAGGTGGAATATAAAGAAATAAAATAAAAACAAAGAGGCCAATTAATCAAAAAACTTCCTTTGAAGGTTACATGAAAACTTTGCAGGATGGAAGTAGTATTCCTCATGTTGGCAGCAACAAGACATCTTATCGATCCGACATGGCTGTGGATGCAACAGGGCTGGGTCATGTTACTTGAAGATACCAGCGCAGAAAGACAGGCAGGCAACTGCAGAATTGGGAGGGAAGAAGGCGGGAATTCCTGGTTACCTGGGTAGGACTGGGACCCTGTAGGGTATTCATGGATTTATTAAACAGATTTATATGACTGCTTGACTATCCAGAGGAACTCTGGGTAATGAACAAGAATAAGAACACAATACATGTATTTAAAAAAAAGAAATGAAAAATAGCACTGAGGCCTGATACAACTCACATTTATAAATCAACTATACCATGCCAGCTAATATCTGCCTCAGTAGTTTTTGACCGTGAGGGATGCAATATCAAGTTTGGTCGCTGTGCATATGGACTTTTAGCTACTCTGTTAAGACAGAAAGTTGCAAAACAAATCCCCTCCCCAACCCCCCCCCCACCCTCCCATACCCTCCCCCACCTCCCCAAACCTCCCAAACCCTCCCCCAACCTTCCCAGAGCTGAGTACAGGCTTAATTAAAATTTTTCAGAAAAAGAAAAGAAAAACTTAAAACACATATAAATCCTAAACAAATCTAAATACATTAAATTAAATAGGTTATCTTCTCTAAAAAATAATAATTGCAATCATTAAACACATTATAATATACTCTAAACATTTTCTAGTATCATACTTATATTATTATCCATCATTCTGTATAAACTCCCTCCAAAACACAAATTTAAACATTACTTTCTTTGAATATCTATACCTACAATATAAAATCTAATCTCTCCCTCTTTCTTTATCCTAGAACACAAAAATAAACATATAAACCTTCATTATACCATTAAAACTAAATACTCTTTGAATACTTAAACTAAATACTTAAACTTAAACTTCTTATCTAAGATTTTCATTCAATCTCCATAATCTTCTCTCCTATCAAAAAAAAACTTAAAAGACATATAAATCCTAAACAAATCTAGGTACATTTAATTAAAAAAAAATTAAAAAACTTTCAATAAAAGACAGAAAGTTGCCCTGGGTGTACCAACATGGAGGTAATCTACACTTTGTACCACAATGAGAGCTTGCAACATGGCTGTGATACACCAGAACAATTATAAAGCATACATGTCTATGGAGATTCTCAGTCATCCAGGTCACAGTTGTCCCAAAGATGCTTTTTCATGAGGCAACTGGACTTTTTTGTTTTTCTTTGAAGACATTTCACTTCTCATCCAAGAAGCTTCTTCAACTCTGAATGGATGATGTATTCCCCACTTCCATTTCCCACCATCCAGTCAAAGCTGAAGAAGCTTCTTGGATGAGAAGTGAAACGTCTTCAAAGAAAACAAGGAAGTCCAGTTACCTCATGAAAAAAGCACCTTTGGGTTTAAACACATATAGTTCAAGAATGTCTCTTCAGGAAATTTCAAGGATGATTTCCTCACTGCCACATCAGAAGTAGTTAGATGTTTAGCTTCCTTAGATAAGAAATGATAACATCGATCCCACAGCAATACTATGGCTCCATATTATGATGATTTTATTATGGGTTTATCTTAATTTAATGTTTTATCTCCTATATTGCATTGTCCACATATTATTCATATGAGTGTGTCTGTGTGGGTGGGTTGTTTGCTGAAGCTTTATTTAAAGAGTAATAGTTAAATAATAACCATGCTAGCTCTGTCAACATCTTGGCCCTAGGGCCTGGGAAAAGGACACCACGGAATGATAATGAGGGCTGCTCAGTGATGGGATTGATCCTATACTGCAGGAGCAGCCAACAGAC